ATTTTCCTTACTCGTTATTGACTGCATTGTGCCCTTACCAAGAAGCCACGCATGCCACATGGACATCATCACCATTATGTGCCCATCCACCAGGTTCCCAATAGCAATTAGCATTGCTATTGACTCCCAATAGTAGCATAAAAGTGTTAAGGGTGGTAGGAAGATGCAGCTTTCCTCGGCAATGCAGCTGTACCACGTCATGCATTGCTGTGGCTCAGCAATGCATGTGTGTTGCTGAGACACAGCAGCCTTCCCCTGTCACCCAGTCCTCCCCCACCATTTACCCCTCCCTATCCCCTCGTCCCCCAACCATTCCTTACTTCCCTGTCCCATCGTCCTCCCAACCATTCCCCACTCCCGTGTCCCCTCGTCCTCTCCAACATTACCCCCTCCCCTGTCCCCTCGTCCTCCCCACCATCTCCCACTCCCGTCCCCTCGTCTTCCCTTCCATTCCCCACTCCCTCATGCATTGCCACATAAGATGATGTTCTATTAGAAAATTGGGAACGTCAAATCATTTGATGTTCCCATCACTGAAATATAAGAAAACCATAACATATTTAGTATATAGTGTGTTGCTCTTATGTGCAACAGATGGGGTTGTTTTTAAAAAATATGCATGTTTTTTACCTGTCACAGGTGTAGCATCTATACTTACACTCACGAAATGAATGGCATGGTAAACAACACAGCTAAATTCCAATGCAATGTCACACAAAATATTAAAATCAAAATGAAGATCAATCGAAATCAATGAAAATTCAGTTTGCGAAAGCAATCGGAAACAATGAAATGGAATCGTAACATATTTAGTATATCGTGTGTTGCCATTACATGCAACAGATGGCATTGTTTTTCCCAAAAAGTATGTTTTTACCTGTCACAGGTTTGGCATCTATATAGTAGCTATATAAAAAGTTGTGCGTATTAGAGTGGAACGTTGAGTCAAAATTTCAAAGCAATCGGTGAAGAACTTTCGGAGATCACAGCGTGTGTTCCTCTTACATCCAAAAGATGGCACTGTTTAAAAAAAAAACATGTTTTTCCGGTCACAGGTGAGGCGTGTATATAGTAGGTATATAAAAATATGCGCCTATTCGAATGCAACATTGTGTCAAAATTCGTTCGAAGGGTTCGAAGATTTCCCTCGCATGAAAAACCATTCTCATGTACCCACCTCACCGAATACCCACCTCACCCAAAACCAATGAAAAGCAACAGTTATGTCAAATATTTCAAACACAGTGTATCATAAGTAGTTTTAACTGTAAACAAGTCTTTGAGAATGTAAGAAGCCATTACAAAACGCTTCCAGGCGTCAGACCATTAATAAAAATGAATTTTGGAGAGTAAAATCAATTAATACATCTTCAGAAGTCCTTCTGAAAATGTATTAATATACGAAAGTACTTATGGAAATTCATGTTTCAATTCTTCCTCCGTGGTCTGGCACTGTCATATTTTTAATCACGTGTTATTTTTCGTGAATATATATATATATATATATATATATTGTGACGGTAACGCGTTGGTGTTCGGCTGTTTCAAAAGCTAGGGGTATGGCCTCGTCACATATAGAAACAAAAAAGAGAAAATCTGGAACTTCGTCTGTGGTAAGGTAATGGGAAGACACACAAAACACAAGTAAATTTTGTCGGAAAATCCGACACCATTTAATATAACATACAGACAGATAATAATAGCTGTATTGTATAAACAAGTTAACCCATAGAAAACGTAACTTGTAGTGGAATTACCGTCTATAGAAAACGGAATATCATTACCACACACTATTATATATTCACCACCTATTATGGTGGGAATTATTCTTAAATACATTAGTCTTTGGACTTTACCATCATAAAACATTTCATATAAATTAACTTAATTATCAATATTAAAGTAGAGTAAATGTGACCCTTCTATCACTTTCTGTCATCTGGACAATGTAAGCCAGGCGTCAGTGTGAGGGAGGGGCAGCAGCCATTGTTGATACTAGACCAGAGGCTCACGGGAGCAAATACGGCTCCTGTTAATTTTACTTGGACGAAGTGTTATGGAAACCAAAGGTGTACCATTATCACACGCTGTCAACAAATTCAAGTTAAGTGTTCTACCGAAACCCATTTATCTATCATTAGTGGCCATTATTGTCAGGGGTAGGGTGTGCCGGTTAGAGCACGAGGCAGCCACAAACTAAAGGTAATTAGCCCACGTCTTCATTGTTCCATGTACAGTGTTTCTCTGATATACCTGTCATATAAAGGATTCTGGCTTTACAGTTAGCGTCTTTAGCCAATGTTCCTGCTCCACTAGCCACTATTCCTGCTCCACTAGCCACTGTTCCTGCCCCACTTGCCACTGTTCCTGCCCCATTAGCCACTGTTCCTGCTCCACTAGCAATTGTTCCTGCTCACCTAGCCACTGTTCCTGCCCCACTAGCCACTGTTCCTGCTCCACTAGCCACACTGTTCCTGCCTCACTAGCCACTGTTCCTGCTCCACTAGCCACACTGTTCCTGCTCCACTAGCCACTGTTCCTGCTCCAATAGCCACTGTTCCTGCTCCACTAGCAACACTGTTCCTGCTCCACTAGCCACTGTTCCTGCTCCACTAGATACACTGTTCCTGCCCCACTAGCCACACTGTTCTTTCTCCACTAGCCAGACTGTTCCTGCTCCACTAGTCACACTGTTCCTGCCCCACTACCTGCCCCACTGGGTTCCTGCCCCACTTCCTGCTTTGGCGGGACCAAAGAGCCAAAGCTCAACCCCCGCAAGCACAATTAGGTGACAATTAGGTGAGTACTAGCCACTGTTCCTGCTCCACTATCCACACTGTTCCTGCCCCACTAGACACTGTTCCTGCTTCACTAGCCACTGTTCCTGCTCCACTAGCCACTGTTCCTGCTCCACTATCCACACTGTTCCTGCCCCACTAGACACTGTTCCTGCTTCACTAGCCACTGTTCCTGCTCCACTAGCCACTTTTCCTGCTCCACTAACCACACCGTTCCTGTTCCACTAGCACCTGTTCCTGCTTCACTAGCCACACTGTTCCTATCCCACTAGCCACTGTTCCTGCCCCACTAGCCACTGTTCCTGCTGCACTAGCCACTGTTCCTGCTTCACTAGCCACTGTTCCTGCTCCACTAGCCACACTGATCCTGCTCCACTAGCATCTGTTCCTGCTTCACTAGCCACTGTTCCTGCTCCACTAGCCACTTTTCCTGCTCCACTAACCACACCGTTCCTGTTCCACTAGCATCTGTTCCTGCTTCACTAGCCACACTGTTCCTATCCCACTAGCCACTGTTCCTGCCCCACTAGCCACTGTTCCTGCTGCACTAGCCACTGTTCCTGCTTCACTAGCCACTGTTCCTGCTCCACTAGCTACACTAACCCTGCTCCACTAGCCACTTTTCCTGCTCCACTAACCACACCGTTCCTGTTCCACTAGCACCTGTTCCTGCTTCACTAGCCACACTGTTCCTATCCCACTAGCCACTGTTCCTGCCCCACTAGCCACTGTTCCTGCTGCACTAGCCACTGTTCCTGCTTCACTAGCCACTGTTCCTGCTCCACTAGCCACACTGATCCTGCTCCACTAGCATCTGTTCCTGCTTCACTAGCCACACTGTTCCTATCCCACTAGCCACTGTTCATGCCCAACTAGCCACTGTTCCTGCTGCACTAGCCACTGTTCCTGCTTCACTAGCCACTGTTCCTGCTCCACTAGCCACACTGATCCTGCTCCACTAGCATCTGTTCCTGCTTCACTAGCCACACTGTTCCTATCCCACTAGCCACTGTTCCTGCTCCACTAGCAACTGTTCCTGTCCCATTAGCCACGGTTCCTCCTCCACTATCCAATGTTCCTGCTCCAATAGCCACTGTTCCTGCTCCACTAGCCACTGTTCCTGGTCCACTAACCACACTGTTCCTGCCCCTCCAGCCACTGTTCCTGCTCCACTAGCCACACTCTTCCTGCCAAACTAGCCACTGTTTCTGCTTCACTAGCCACACTGTTCCTGCTCCACTAGCCACTGTTCCTGCTCCACTAGTCACTATTCCTGCTCCACTAGCTACACTGTTCCTGCTCCACTAGCCACTATTCCTGCTCCACTAGCCACTGTTCCTGCTCCACTAGCCACACTGTTCCTGCCCCACTTGCCACTGTTCCTGCCCCATTGGCCACTGTTCCTGCTCCACTAGCAAGACTGTTCCTGCTCCTTTAGCCACTGTTCCTGCTCCACTAGCCACTGTTCCTGCCCCACTAGCAACTGTGCCTGCCCCATTAGCCACTGTTCTTGCTCCACTAGCCACACTGTTCCTGCTCCACTAACCACTGTTCCTGCTCCACTAGCCACTGTTCCTGCTCCACTAATCACTGTTCCTGCTCCACTAGCAATTGTTCCTGCTCCACTAGCCACTGTTCCTGCTCCACTAATCACTGTTCCTGCTCCACTAGCAATTGTTCCTGCTCCACTAGCTACACTGCTCCTGCCCCTCTAGCCACTGTTCCTGCTCCACTAGATACACTGTTCCTGCTCCACTAGATACACTGTTCCTGCCTCACTAGCCACTGTTCCTGCTCCACTAGCAACACTGTTCCTGCTCCACTAGCCACACTGTTCCTGCTCCACTAGCCACTGTTCCTGCTCCACTAGCAACACTGTTCCTGCTCCACTAGCCACACTGTTCCTGCTCCACTAGCCACACTGTTCCTGCCTCACTAGCCACTGTTCCTGCCCCTCTAGCCACTGTTCCTGCTCCACTAGATACACTGTTCCTGCTCCACTAGATACACTGTTCCTGCCTCACTAGCCACTGTTCCTGCTCCACTAGCCACTGTTCCTGCTCCACTAGCCACTGTTCCTGCTCCACTAGCCACTGTTCCTGCTTCACTAGCCACACTGTTCCTATCACACTAGCCACTGTTCCTATCACACTAGCCACTGTTCCTATCACACTAGCCACTGTTCCTGCTCCACTAGCCACACTATTCCTGCTCCACTAGCCACTGTTCCTGCCCCACTAGCCACTGTTCCTGCTCCACTAGCCACTGTTCCAGCTCCACTAGCCACTGTTCCTGCCCCACTAGCCACTGTTCCTGCTCCACTAGCCACTGTTCCTGCTCCACTAGCCACTGTTCCTGCTCCACTAGACACTGTTCCTGCTCCACTAGCCACTGTTCCTGCTCCACTAGCCACTGTTCCTGCTCCACTAGCAACTGTTCCTGCTCCACTAGCCACTGTTCCTGCTCCACTAGCCACTGTTCCTGCTCCACTAGCCACTGTTCCTGCTCCACTAGCCACTGTTCCTGCTCCACTAGACACTGTTCCTGCTCCACTAGCCACTGTTCCTGCCCCATTAGCCACTGTTCCTGCTCCACTAGCAATTGTTCCGGCTCCACTAGCCACTGTTCCTGCTCCACTAGCAATTGTTCCGGCTCCACTAGCCACACTGTTCCTGCCCCACTAGCCACACTGTTCCTGCCTCACTAGCCACTGTTCCTGCTCCACTAGCAATTGTTCCTGCTCCACTAGCCACACTGTTCCTGCCCCACTAGCCACACTGTTCCTGCTCCACTAGCCACTGTTCCTGCTCCACTAGCAACTGTTCCTGCTCCACTAGCCACTGTTCCTGCTCCACTAGCCACTGTTCCTGTTCAACTAGCCACTGTTCCTGCTCCACTAGCCACACTGTTCCTGCCTCACTAGCCACTGTTCCTGCTCCACTAGCCACACTGTTCCTGCCCCACTTGCCACTGTTCCTGCCCCACTAGCCACACTGTTCCTGCTGCACTAGACACTGTTCCTGCCCCACTAGCCACACTGTTCCTGCTCCACTAGCAACTGTTCCTGCTTCACTAGCCAATGTTCCTGCTCCACTAGCCACTGTTCCTGCTCCACTAGCCACTGTTCCTGCTCCACTAGCCACTGTTCCTGCTCCACTTGCCACTGTTCCTGCTCCACTAGCCACACTGTTCCTGCTCCACTAGCAACTGTTCCTGCTATACTAGCCACACTGTTCCTATCCCACTAGCCACTGTTCCTGCCCCATTAGCCACTGTTCCTACTCCACTAGCCACTGTTCCTGCTCCACTAGCCACTGTTTCTGCCCCACTAGCCACTGTTCCTGTTCAACTAGCCACTGTTCCTGCCCCACTAGCCACTGTTCCTGTTCAACTAGCCACTGTTCCTGCCCCACTAGCCACTGTTCCTGTTCAACTAGCCACTGTTCCTGCTCCACTAGCCACTGTTCCTGCTCCACTAGCCACTGTTCCTGCCCCACTAGCCACTGTTCCTGTTCAACTAGCCACTGTTCCTGCTCCACTAGCCACTGTTCCTGTTCAACTAGCCACTGTTCCTGTTCAACTTGCCACTGTTCCTGTTCAACTAGCCACTGTTCCTGTTCAACTAGCCACTGTTCCTGTTCAACTAGCCACTGTTCCTGTTCAACTAGCCACACCGAGTGCCATCAGTCCTTTACACAGGCCTAATTAATGTGTATTGGGCCAATTAAGGGATTGAATCTTTACACCAAAATGATGTTAAATACATAGATTCTTGAACAAATTTAGTTATTAAATTAACTGTAAGATGGAACTCACTTACAAAAATATACTTGACACCATTGCTAATCACTTCCCTAGCACTGATGTGTTATGGCTAAGCCACACCAAGAGTTTACTCTCGCAGCACACTAACGTGCGGGCGCGCAAACGCGTCTATTCAATTCAGTCTGTGAACAATACTTAACTATGAACAGTTAGGCTGTTACAGTGTGGTGCACGCACCCCAGACACTAAGGTCACCCGTACCTAAAGGTAAATCACACTCAGCAGTAACATACTGAAAAGTGGCAAATAAAGTAAACCGCATTGATTACATTATGCCATAAATATATGACTAAATTTTATTTTATTAGTCGTAAGTTGTAGTCGTTATTATATGTAAGTTTCGTCCTATCCGCATACTGAGACCTTGAACCACGTACGCAGTCCTTCGCTCCCAGGCGAGTGTGAAGTTCTTCGTGTTAATCCTAACATAAAATACATAAGTGTGGGTTTCTGTGTAATATCAACAATATCTGTATTCCGTACTGTACAGAGAAGGACAACAGTGGGTCAAAGTACCATGGTGTATAGTGAACTCACGTCTCAAATTACCAACTTATATGAAACTTTCCTGCTATAAAATATACAATGAAATTGTCAACAAACAATTACCTAATAAATACACAGAAGGAAAAAACTCATCCCCAGAGAGCATTATTTAACACAGCAGTGCTGAATAGTCAGTAACAACTCCCATATGAATAGCGTTTAACTGAAATGCATAATCTAACTCACAAGCAGCAGGTCTTAATGACTGTTCACAACGGGGTCCATCCTTGACCAAGTAACTATAGAACGTCGTTCTGAGGTTCATGATGAATTTGTTCACACAAAATAGGCAGAGATCAGTAAAGGTTTTTATATGTGATGATGACTATGAAGAGCCACATATACCAATAAATTTCCTAAATTGTTTTTTCGGGCGAGTCCATCCCCATTTTTAGCCCAGGCAACATCCCCATTTTTAGCCCAGGCAACATCCCCATTTTTAACCCAGGCAACATCCCCATTTTTAACCCAGGCAACATCCCCATTTTTAACCCAGGCAACATCCCCATTTTTAGCCCAGGCAACATCCCCATTTTTAACCCAGGCAACATCCCCATTTTTAGCCCAGGCAACATCCCCATTTTTAACCCAGGCAACATCCCCATTTTTAACCCAGGCAACATCCCCATTTTTAACCCAGGCAACATCCCCATTTTTAGCCCAGGCAACATCCCCATTTTTAACCCAGGCAACATCCCCATTTTTAGCCCAGGCAACATCCCCATTTTTAACCCAGGCAACATCCCCATTTTTAGCCCAGGCAACATCCCCATTTTTAGCCCAGGCAACATCCCCATTTTTAACCCAGGCAACATCCCCATTTTTAGCCCAGGCAACATCCCCATTTTTAACCCAGGCAACATCCCCATTTTTAGCCCAGGCAACATCCCCATTTTTAGCCCAGGCAACATCCCCATTTTTAGCCCAGGCAACATCCCCATTTTTAGCCCAGGCAACATCCCCATTTTTAGCCCAGGCAACATTCCCATTTTTAGCCCAGGCAACATCCCCATTTTTAGCCCAGGCAACATCCCCATTTTTAGCCCAGGCAACATCCCCATTTTCAGCCCAGTCAACATCCCCATTTTTAACCCAGGCAACTCTGGATAAACACTTGAAGGAATCAAGAAGTCACTATAAAACAGACATTAATCAAAACCTGAATGTAGACAACTTTAACGCACTACCCAAATTGAACTAAAATTATTACAATTACATATGTTAACTAATCACGAGACAGGCGTTAATATTCCCCTCGAGTTGTGGACTTCTAACACCGAAGAGTTTAATGAAAAACTTGAGTAAGATTGTTCTAACTACCTTAGACCAAGACAGAGACTACTTAGCATTCGTTAGGACCCTGAAAGTGGCCATCCCATGTATGACAAACAGGAACAGTGGGCCACCACCATGTATGACAAACAGGAACAGTGGGCCACCACCATGTATGACAAACTGGAGCAGTGGGCCACCACCATGTATGAGAAACAGGAGCAGTGGGCCACCACCTTGTATGACAAACTGGAGCAGTGGGCCACCGCCATGTATGACAAACTGGAGCAGTGGGCCACCACCATGTATGAGAAACAGGAGCAGTGGGCCACCACCTTGTATGACAAACTGGAGCAGTGGGCCACCGCCATGTATGACAAACTGGAGCAGTGGGCCACCACCATGTATGACAAACTGGAGCAGTGGGCCACCACCATGTATGAGAAACAGGAGCAGTGGGCCACCACCTTGTATGACAAACTGGAGCAGTGGGCCACCGCCATGTATGACAAACTGGAGCCATGGGCCACCACCATGTATGACAAACTGGAGCCATGGGCCACCACCATGTATGAGAAACTGGAGCAGTGGGCCACCACCATGTATGACAAACTGGAGCCATGGGCCACCACCATGTATGACAAACTGGAGCCATGGGCCACCACCATGTATGAGAAACTGGAGCAGTGGGTGTTACGAATCTTACTAGGATTCTGCATTACTCTTGATTCTCATATTACTTTATTGTCTTGTTCTTTAATATAGCATCTAGTTGTATGATATAAGATTTGTATGTTATATATATATATTATAGCATGCAGTAGGGTGCATGAGTTACATTATATTGTGTGAGGCTTTTGGTGTTAATTTCTCATGTAGTTTCTCCGTGTGGGCGGTTGACCATATTTGGATATGGCCAGTGTGGGAACATTGTTGTCAATTGAGTGTTTATAGTTTCACCTTAAATTATGCCCATATTTGGTTTCTGTATTATTATATAGAATGTTGTACCAGTGTTTACTATTCTTTAGTTTAACAATGTTTTGAATATTAGTGCTGCGTTTTATTATTAGATTTTCCACAATGTTTTGTGTGGACGGTTAGTTGATTTTTTGGTAGACGCTTGGCCTGCGGTCCAAGGCGTGGGCAGAAGCGTGGCGGCAGCGGTCATGAGGAGTCATGGTTTAAGTTAAGTCATTGGTCACTGTTATTTTAGCCCATATAAATGTTAATTATCTGGTTAGATCATATTGTATATATCTCTCTAATTAATCCATGTCTTAGTGATAGTGCTCATGTCTCAATAAGGAGGTTATTCTATGATTTGCATGCTGAAGAATATTCCTGGTTATTATTTATACATTTAAGTGTTTTTTATGATTGTCCCCCTTAGCATAAATATATTGTTCTCCATTTTTATGCAGTGATTTATATTTACCCCTAGACAGTTGTTGGCAAGGCCGATGTATTATTTTCTTTATTGCACTGCGGGGAGAAGAACCTTATTTAGTCTCAAGGGTGGTAACAAATGGGGGCCTGTCCGGGAGAATAAGCCTTAATTCCCTGTAATGTTGTACAATTAACAATGCTAATTATTAATTGCAATTGCCTTCCTAGGTACTCTGATTATCTAGTGACACCTAATCAAGCCTGTGAAATTATCTGTTCAATCTGAGCTGCTGTGAAAACTCAACGCTTCACGATTTGAGGTAAGTGTTTAGCTTGTGCCAGGGGCCAAGCATAATTTTCAGTGTTGTTTCAAGTGTAAGTTGTGATTATTGAGCCAACCATGGAGGATCAGGTTGCTGCACTGGTAGATCTGCCAAATTTTGGTAAAATTAAAGACTTAAAGAAGTCTGGTTTGTTATTGCTGGCTGATAAATTGAACCTAGCTATTCCCAGTAAAATGTTGAAAGCTCAAGTGTTAAGAGTGATTGTCACACACTTGGTGGAGGAGGAGAGACTTGAAGAAGAGTGTTTGGGAGAGTTAGAAGAAGAGTCAAGTGACAAGGTGGCAATCTTAAAGTTGGAGTTGGAGACTCAATTAGAATTGGCTAGGCTGGAAGCAGACAAGCAGAGGTTGGAAGTAGACAAGCAGAGGTTGGAAGCAGACAAGCAGAGGTTAGAGTTGCAGAACCAGACAAAACACCTTGAGTTGGAGGCTCAGTTAAGACTAGCAGAGCAACAAACTAAGCAAACCGAGCAGCAGACTAGACAATTAGAAATTCAGCAGAGTATTGCTGAAAATAATAACAGGTTAGAACAGCAGAGAATTGCAGCAGGGCAAGGTAACACTAGTAATAATCCAGAGAGTACAAATAGTTCTAAGTACAGTAAACATGTAGAATTACCTAAGTTTAATGAAGAAGATCCAGAAATATTTTTCTTGCATTTTAAGAAACTAGCAGTCAGCATGAACTGGCCTGTCGATCAATGGGTTAGCATATTACAAGGACAATTTAAGGGTAACGCTCAAGAGGTATTTGCATCTTTGCCGGCTGAGAATTCTTTCGATTTTAAATTTGTTCAGCAGAGTATTTTGAATGCTTACCAGCAGATCCCAGAGGCACATAGAATAAAATTTAGAAGTTTAAAAAGAGCACATGACCAGACTATTTCTGACTTTGTAAGAGTAAAATCAAATCACTTTGACAGATGGATTAAAGCACTTAATATTACAGAGTTTGAGACTTTAAGAGACCTCATAGTAACTGAGGAAGTAGTGGGATGTCTACCAGAGAAATTAGCTTTATTTATGGCTGAAAATAAACAAACCACTGATCTTATCAAATTAGCCAAGCTAGCTGATGAACATGAACTACTTACAAAAGTACCTTTCAGAGCACCAATTAACCATTTTAATGCTAGAACTAATCAATATGCTCATAAAAACCATGTTTTCCAGACTCGACCAGCTACTTCACCTTCTCCCCGTAACCCTTCTCCTGTAAAGCCTAAATCTGAGAAACAGACAGGGTTGTCACCCTCAAGTAATGTAGTGATTAAGCCTGCAGTGGGTTCGGCTGTTCCGACCACTAGCAGGTATTGCACGCATTGCAGGAGAAGAGGTCATGTGGTAAATTCATGTTATGCTTTGCACCCTGAGTTGAGACCAACTGGTCTAATTTTGAGTAGGGGTTTGCAAACCATTAATGCCAATGTTGCTCCAGTCATGCCCAAGTGGATGACTAATTTTGATCCATACCTACATTCGGGAACCCTACTATGTACTAGTGGAACCTGGAAACCAGTCCAGTTGTTAAGGGACACTGGTGCTTCCCAATCTTTAATTTCTCGCCGTGTTCTTACTGATGTTAGCACAGAAGACACTGGAGAGGTAGTGTTATTGCAGGGACTTGGAGGGCATATCCAGCGTGTACCACTAATTAAGGTTAACCTGAATTCTTCTATTACACCAGGTTGGTGCACTGTAGCAGTCAGTGAGCAGTTGCCCATTCCTGGGATTGATATCATTGTAGGTAATGATTTTGACAAGTGTCAATTTAGTGGGACCGATTGTCCTGTTATGTATACTAAACCTAATGCAGTACTGGCTCAATCAGACGCGGATGATGGTGTCATTTATCCAGCCTGTGTTGTGACCAGATCCATGGGTAAGCAGAATGTGGTAAGTCCTGTTACTACCAAGGTGGATGTTCTCGAGGCCAGGACCCCTTCAGACAGGGAGGTGGAGGTGGACCTTGAAGATACATTTTTAGCTCACATGGATGTCGAGAGTGAGGCCGGTGCCAAAGCCCTAATTTATTCTGACCCAGATGGTCTGGAAGATGTGGCCCAGGTACCAATTCCTTGCCCGCTCGCTCCAGTTGTAGAGTTCCAGACCTTGCGTAAGTTACAGAGTACTGATCCCAGTCTTGCTGAGTGTTATGCAGAAGCAGCCGACTCCATTGATACTTTGGAGGAGAGTACGGGTTGTTATTTCAAGGATCAATGTCTGATGAGAAGATGGAGACCATCAGGAACTCCCTCATCAGATGATTGTGAGTCTAAAACCCAGCTCGTTGTGCCAACAGAGTATAGGGAGCAGGTATTGCAAGCTGCTCATGATGACCTGATGGGAGGCCATCAAGGCATTACCAGTATGTATCATAAGATCTGTAAACTTTTTTATTGGCCAAAACTTAAAAAAGATGTTGTCAGATATTGCCACAATTGTGTTGTGTGTCAAACTGTAGGTAAGCCTAATCAGACTGTGCCACGAGCACCATTATACCCTATTGTAGTGCCAGAGGAGCCTTTTACTCATGTGGTACTGGATTGTGTCGGACCTTTACCCCGTACCAAATCCGGAAATATGTATATGTTTACCATACTCTGTATGACCACCAGGTTCCCTGAAGCGTATGCTTTACGTAACATTAGAGCATCTACCATTATAAGGCAGTTGGAACGATTTTTCTCCCTATTTGGTATGCCCCGTATAATTCAAACTGACAATGGGAGTAATTTTTGTTCCACCACTTTTCAACAATTTTGTAAAACTTATAATATAGCGCACAATTTTTCCAGTCCTTACCATCCTCAGAGTCAGGGGGGAATCGAGCGGTTCCACCAAACTCTCAAGAAAATGTTAAAGGCAACTGGGGAAGATTCACCCAGGCATTGGGATGATAATCTGCCATTTGTTTTATTTGCGGCTAGAGATGGATTGCACAGTGCACTAGGCTGTTCACCATTTGAGCTGGTTTTCGGACATCAGGTGAGAGGACCTTGAAAGATGTTATATGAAAAATTGTTAGGAGATGTTACAGCCAGACAGAGTGAGCGTTATCTGACGGATGTCCAGAGCAAGCTGTCAAGAACGAGGGAGTTGGCCTTACGACATCTAAGTGAACAACAACAGGTAATGAAGCAGAAACATGACCAGAGGTTCAAGGCCAAACTCAGAGTTTTTGAGCCAGGAGATTTGGTATTGGTCGTGAAGCCTCGTATGGGTACGTCTATGTCTAATAAATTTGCAGGACCGTACCAAGTATTGAAACGTCTTGGGGAAGTTACTTACAAGGTTTGCCATCCCAAGCAGAAACGACAGACCATGAGTGTGCATGTAAACCGGTTGAAGGCTTATTGTGGGCCTAGTGTTGTGGCTTGTTGTGTTGCTGAGGAGGTAATTCCTGAAGAGTCGAGTGTTGCTGAGGAAGATAGTAATATTTGTTTGTTTAATTCCAGTAGTTCCGGGGAAGAATTGTTAAGTCATTTGCAGGATGAGGAGAGAGCAGAGTTCCAGGACCTTTTGGAGGTGTCTTCTAGCTTGTTTGGGGAGGTCCCCACTCAAACTTCTCTCATTACTCACGATATCACCCTGACAAATGTGACTCCAATTCGGCTGCACCCTTATCGAGTGACACCCGAGAAACGTCGTATCATCCAGGAGGAGGTTGATTATCTTCTTCGACATGGGTTCATTAGACCCAGTCAGAGTTCCTGGAGTTCGCCATGTCTATTAGTACCAAAACCAGAAGATAAGTGGAGATTAGTAGTGGACTATAGAAAACTCAACCAGGTAACTGTAGTTGATGTTTATCCTTTACCATTATTGGAAGAATGTGTTGATACTATAGGTCATGCTAAATTTGTGTCTAAATTAGACTTATCTAAGGGATATCATCAGATACCTCTTACAGATTTTGCAAGGGAAGTGACAGCATTTATCACTCCTGATGGAGCTTACGAGTTTAATGTCATGCCTTTTGGATTAAGGAATACTCCAGCCACTTTTCAGAAATTAATGAATTCTTTGTTGAAGGATGTACCAGACTGTAGGGCATATTTGGATGACATTGTGATTTTCAGTAAGAATTGGGTAGATCATATGTCCAGTTTAAAGAAATTGTTTAATGTGTTACAACATGCTAATTTGACTGTCAATATGAAGAAATGTAGTTGGGCTAAAGGAACTATAGTGTATTTAGGACATGAGGTCGGACAAGGAAGGATAGTCCCATTGCACGACAAGATTCAGGCAATTGTGGAGTACCCAGTCCTAACAAATAAGAAGTCTGTGCAAAGATTTATTGGAATGTGTGCGTATTATAGGAGGTATTGTAAAAACTTTTCCATTGTTGCTGCACCCATAACAAATCTTTTAAAGAAACAGGTAAAATTTAAATGGACGCAGGAGTGTCAGAACTCTTTTCAGAAGTTGAAAGGAATTCTCTCTACTTCACCTGTGCTAGCTAGTCCACAGTATGATAAACCTTTTATTCTTCACATAGACGCTTCAGATTTAGGAGCAGGTGCTGTTTTGTTCCAAGTAGGACCAGATGAGTTAGAACATCCTGTTTATTATTTCTCACGTAAGTTTGACAGGACACAAATTAATTACTCTGTAGTTGAGAAAGAAGCACTTTGTTTAATACTGGCAGTGAAGAAATTTGAGACATATTTGTCAGGTAATCAAGTGGTAGTATATACAGACCATAATCCATTGACATTTATCAACTCTATGAAGTGTAAAAACCAGAGAATACTTAGATGGTCATTGCTTCTGCAAGAATTCAATATTGTAATTCGTCATATTCCTGGGAGGCAAAATGTTATTGCTGATGCCTTATCCAGGGGATTTCCTGTTGCAGTGCCATAAAATGTAGTGTTCTATTCATAAGATGTATGAATTTTTGTATTTTTTTTACTGTGTGAGATTTCATTGCTTTGCACTTGAATTTTAGTTGAAGCATTTTCCTGTTTATTTTCATGTTATATTACATGTTATATTTCATGCAGTCAAAAAAAAAATGAAATCAACCTTCAGTTAATTTCATTTTTTTCTTAGGGGACGGGAGGGATGTTACGAATCTTACTAGGATTCTGCATTACTCTTGATTCTCATATTACTTTATTGTCTTGTTCTTTAATATAGCATCTAGTTGTATGATATAAGATTTGTATGTTATATATATATATATTATAGCATGCAGTAGGGTGCATGAGTTACATTATATTGTGTGAGGCTTTTGGTGTTAATTTCTCATGTAGTTTCTCCGTGTGGGCGGTTGACCATATTTGGATATGGCCAGTGTGGGAACATTGTTGTCAATTGAGTGTTTATAGTTTCACCTTAAATTATGCCCATATTTGGTTTCTGTATTATTATATAGAATGTTGTACCAGTGTTTACTATTCTTTAGTTTAACAATGTTTTGAATATTAGTGCTGCGTTTTATTATTAGATTTTCCACAATGTTTTGTGTGGACGGTTAGTTGATTTTTTGGTAGACGCTTGGCCTGCGGTCCAAGGCGTGGGCAGAAGCGTGGCGGCAGCGGTCATGAGGAGTCATGGTTTAAGTTAAGTCATTGGTCACTGTTATTTTAGCCCATATAAATGTTAATTATCTGGTTGGGTCATATTGTATATATCTCTCTAATTAATCCATGTCTTAGTGATAGTGCTCATGTCTCAATAAGGAGGTTATTCTATGATTTGCATGCTGAAGAATATTCCTGGTTATTATTTATACATTTAAGTGTTTTTTATGATTGTCCCCCTTAGCATAAATATATTGTTCTCCATTTTTATGCAGTGATTTATATTTACCCCTAGACAGTTGTTGGCAAGGCCGATGTATTATTTTCTTTATTGCACTGCGGGGAGAAGAACCTTATTTAGTCTCAAGGGTGGTAACAGTGGGCCACCACCATGTATGAGAAACTGGAGTCATGGGCCACCACCATGTATGAGAAACTGGAGTCATGGGCCACCACCATGTATGAGAAACTGGAGTCATGGGCCACCACCATGTATGAGAAACTGGAGTCATGGGCCACCACCATGTATGAGAAACAGGAGCAGTGGGCCATCACCATGTATGAGAAACAGGAGCAGTGGGCCACCACCATGCATGAGAAACAGGAGCAGTGGGCCACCACCATGCATGAGAAACAGGAGCAGTGGGCCACCACCATGTATGAGAAACAGGAGCAGTGGGCCACCACCATGTATGAGAAACAGGAGCAGTGGGCCACCACCATGTATGAGAAACAGGAGCAGTGGGCCACCACCATGTATGAGAAACAGGAGCAGTGGGCCACCACCATGTATGAGAAACAGGAGCAGTGGGCCACCACCATGCATGAGAAACAGGAGCAGTGGGCCACCACCATGCATGAGAAACAGGAGCAGTGGGCCACCACCATGCATGAGAAACAGGAGCAGTGGGCCACCACCATGCATGAGAAACAGGAGCAGTGGGCCACCACCATGCATGAGAAACAGGAGCAGTGGGCCACCACCATGCATGAGAAACAGGAGCAGTGGGCCACCACCATGCATGAGAAACAGGAGCAGTGGGCCACCACCATGCATGAGAAACAGGAGCAGTGGGCCACCACCATGCATGAGAAACAGGAGCAGTGGGCCACCACCATGCATGAGAAACAGGAGCAGTGGGCCACCACCATGCATGAGAAACAGGAGCAGTGCAGTGGGCAGTGGGCCACCACCATGCATGAGAAACAGGAGCAGTGGGCCACCACCATGCATGAGAAACAGGAGCAGTGGGCCACCACCATGCATGAGAAACAGGAGCAGTGGGCCACCACCATGCATGAGAAACAGGAGCAGTGGGCCACCACCATGCATGAGAAACAGGAGCAGTGGGCCACCACCATGCATGAGAAACAGGAGCAGTGGGCCACCACCATGCATGAGAAACAGGAGCAGTGGGCCACCACCATGCATGAGAAACAGGAGCAGTGGGCCACCACCATGCATGAGAAACAGGAGCAGTGGGCCACCACCATGCATGAGAAACAGGAGCAGTGGGCCACCACCATGCATGAGAAACAGGAGCAGTGGGCCACCACCATGCATGAGAAACAGGAGCAGTGGGCCACCACCATGCATGAGAAACAGGAGCAGTGGGCCACCACCATGCATGAGAAACAGGAGCAGTGGGCCACCACCATGCATGAGAAACAGGAGCAGTGGGCCACCACCATGCATGAGAAACAGGAGCAGTGGGCCACCACCATGCATGAGAAACAGGAGCAGTGGGCCACCACCATGCATGAGAAACAGGAGCAGTGGGCCACCACCAATGCATGAGAAACAGGAGCAGTGGGCCACCACCATGCATGAGAAACAGGAGCAGTGGGCCACCACCATGCATGAGAAACAGGAGCAGTGGGCCACCACCATGCATGAGAAACAGGAGCAGTGGGCCACCACCATGTATCACAAACTGGAGCACCCGTGGTGTGGGAACCAACCTGTGAGATTTATATTTATTTAATTTATATGAATTTATATAGAATTTATATTTACGTTAATTTGTATACTTCAATAGCAATTTGTATGATGTTAAGTGGACTGTATTTCTGCAATAATCTCATAAATCGATCCTCTACACATTAGGGGGGTTTATATTGAATTTATATATATGCAGCCAATCAAACTAGAGTATTAACTACATACATTGAAGAGGTTCCTTATCTTATTGTACAGCAGGCCTTAGTCCACCAGATATAACTAGGGTGTAGACACCGAATTATCCTCTTTGAGGTAGCTTCTATCACCCAGTAACTGGTACACAAAGCATGCTTCCTCGTCTTGACCTGTCAAAAGGGTGCTAGCTAAAGCCAGAATCCTAATATATGACAGCTATATCAGAGAAAACACTGTACATGGAACCATAAAGACCTAGGCTTAATTACCTTGTTTGAGTCGATCATTTGTGATCTAACCGGCCCACCCAATATCTACTGACATTAATGGCCATAAATGAAAGATAAACGGGTTTCGGAAAGACACTTCCCTTGAGATTGATGACAGCGTGTTGATGATGGCAGATTACTACTCTGATCTTCCATAACACTTCGTCCAAGAGAATTTATAGGAGCCGTAATTTGCTCCACGACTCTGTGGTCTTAACAACAATAACAATTTCTGACCATTTCCCCCTCACTGACGCTACTGGCCTACATTGTCCAGATGTCAGTAAGTGATAGAAGGGTCACATTTACTCTATTTTAATTCTTATAATTAAATTAATTTATATGAGATGTTTTTATGATGGTAAAGTCCAAAGACTAATGTATTTAAGAATAATTCCCACCATAATAGGTGGTGAATTTATAATAGTATGTGGTAATGATATCCCGTTTTCTATAGACGGAAATTCCACTACAAGTTACATTTTCTATGGGTAAACTTGTTTATACAACACAGCAATATTATCTGCCTGTATGATATTATTAAAAGGTGTCAGATTTTCCGACATAATTCCCCAGGGGGCTGCTCACGGGTCGAAGTCCTATTTAGAACAGACGAACACCGATACTCCTCCTTCAAATTATTAGATTAATTTGATGTTAGTAGTTAGTAATCACACATTTGTGCGTCTGTTTGTACAGGACGGATGTCCCGTACTAGAGTTGCAGGGGTTAGAAGTCTAATGCAATTTCATTTCCCTGTTAACTCTTGAAAGGCTAAAATTCAAGCCTAATTACATATTATTTAACCCAGAAGACTGAATGTGATCAAGTACTACAGTCAAGTATGATTCAGCGACTGCAGTGAGATCAGTGACATTAGCTATAATTTGAAGTTTGTTCAGGAAACTGGTCACTGACATATAAACACTGAGGCCCATGGAATACATCTTGATTAAATAATAAATGTATCAAATCAGTCATCCGATTTATTGGGGTTTAATTTAGTTAATTGATTCAGAAGATTGAATAGCTCATCATTAAAGTAAAGTATGGTTCTGCGACTGCAGTGGGTTCAGTGACATTGGTCGCAGTGACTTGTAGCTGTTTAGGCTACTGTTCACTGATTTGCCACTGAGGCCTCATGAACTCATCTTCAGCTTTAAATGATGATACTAACATCAAATTCTGTTGGTATAGTCAGCTGTAATCTCCTTACTATAATGCTACTGGAGAAATATAATCAGCTGAAAAATTTAGATTTCTACTGGTATTGTTTATCTGCAGGCATAGGTCTCCTCAGGCTTAGTACTGGGCCTGAGAGTAATTTACCTCCTGCAGAGTTTAACAAGGTTATGCCCTGATATTTAGTAGGGCTACCGATGAATTGATGGTAGTAATCTGTCCCCACAAGGAGAGCTATTTAGCATTTGATTTTCTCAAATTTACCTGCAGATGCTTGATAATAGCTTTCCAGGTCAGCATAATCAACTGGTGATTGTTGTGACAAATCTTCACATTTCTTGATCTGTCTTGTTAAGTGGCCTTTAAGACCTGCAAGGGTTCTTCTCATTCTCCCTGCATTATCCATACTGGCTAGTTGGTGAAGCCTTGTGGGACTTGTACTTGGGTCGCTCATAATACTGAACAAGTACTGATGGTAGCCTAGGGTAAAATTTATGCACTCACTAGGCAATAATCCTACCTCTACTAGAGGTTAGCACTTAAAATTAATACACATTATATATATATACAATCATACACACTAATGATTTGAGTGATAAACCAGTGTCATGGAAGTACCTTTAGGTTAGCTCTTCTATATCACCCTAGGATGGTATAGACACTAATTAATCACTCAAAGGTGTAATGATCATAAGTAAATTATTATATACACAACTCAACTTGAGTTGATAAAATTTACACCTAAAATAGGGTCTGCACCATTCATTAATGGTGCTAGGTTGTTTAATATAGTACAACTAGACTATGGTAATAATGGGACTAGGATGAACAATAAATAGTTCAACTAGTCAATGGTAATATCCTACCCTGTTGTGGGTTGGCAATTAGTAAATATTATATTGTGAACACTAGGCAATATATTAAATAATTCTCTATTTTGGAGAAATAATATACACAATTATTGATAATAGCCTCTATGAAACTTCTAATATTATCTAGAAGTATTAAATATTATTAGTGACCTCGCGAAATAAACTCCACAAAATTCGTAGATAATCTCTCGCGAAATTTAACACCACGAAACCCGTGAACAATCTTGCGAAGACACAGCCACTAATTTGGCTGGCTTCAATATTAGCGCTGTCATTTCACGGAATAACACGCCACCAAATTTGTGGGTGACCATATGCAACCGCTGATGAGGCTGAAATGAACTGAGGGGGCTCCTGAGCTCGCACGAGGCAACGCCGCCGTCTTTGACTGCTGGTTTTGTATAAATCACACTGCACTAGTATATTTAATGAATCCACTGGTTAACTGGTTCATCCGGTACTAAGATGACCAAATAATCTGTAATCTGACTCGAAGATGACCAATAATGTGGGTTCATAGGACCAATAATCTGTCATCCGGTTCGAAGGACCAAATAATGTGGGAACCAACCTGTGAGATTTATATTTATTTAATTTATATGAATTTATATAGAATTTATATTTACGTTAATTTGTATACTTCGATAGCAATTTGTATGATGTTAAGTGGACTGTATTTCTGCAATAATCTCACAAATCGATCCTCTATACATTAGCGGGGGTTTATATTGAATTTATATATATGCAGCCAATCAAACTAGAGTATTAACTACATACATTGAAGAGGTTCCTTATCTTATTGTACAGCAGGCCTTAGTCCACCAGATATAACTAGGATGTAGACACCGAATTATCCTCTTTGAGGTAGCTTCCATCACCCAGTAACTGGTACACAAAGCATGCTTCCTCGTCTTGACCTGTCAAAAGGGCGCTAGCTAAAGCCAGAATCCTAATATGTGACAGCTATATCAGAGAAAACACTGTACATGGAACCATAAAGACCTAGGCTTAATTACCTTGTTTGAGTCGATCATTTGTGATCTAACCGGCCCACCCAATATCTACTGACATTAATGGCCATAAATGAAAGATAAACAGGTTTCGGAAAGACACTTCCCTTGAGATTGATGACAGCATGTTGATGATGGCAGATCACTACTCTGATCTTCCATAACACTTCGTCCAAGAGAATTTATAAGAGCCGTAATTTGCTCCACGACTCTGTGGTCTTAACAACAATAACAATGGCTGACCACTCCCCCCTCACTGATGCTACTGGCCTACATTGTCCAGATGTCAGTAAGTGATAGAAGGGTCACATTTACTCTATTTTAATTCTGATAATTAAGTTAATTTATATGAGATGTTTTTATGATGGTAAAGTCCAAAGACTAATGTATTTAAGAATAATTCCCACCATAATAGGTGGTGAATTTATAATAGTATGTGGTAATGATATCCCGTTTTCTATAGACGGAAATTCCACTGCAAGTTACATTTTCTATGGGTTAACTTGTTTATACAACACAGCAATATTATCTGCCTGTATGATATTATTATATGGTGTCGGATTTTCCGACACGTGGGTCTGAAGATATACCGTGGGTAAATTGCAGCAGTTTCTGGCGAGCAGGTGTCCTCACGGTTCCCTATTGACACGGTTACGTGACCGGATTGACACAGCTAGTCAGCAGCGAGATGTTGAGTCCGGTGTGTCGTGAGCGGGTACTCTAGCGCCCTCTGCGCGAGGCTCACTTCCAATACAGACGCCAGCGACGCTATCATCACTGAACTCCTCTGGTGATTCTTCAATTGTTTTGTGGGATAAAGAAAAGTAATGCATTTTTCCATAACTTCTCTGGAGTATACATTACCTAAGCACAAATTTATTATTTATTGCAGTTGTTTTAAGATTAATACGTGTTATGTCGTATTAAAATACATACCTCAGTTTTTGACATGTAATACGTTAAGTTGTTACAAAATAAGTACCTAAATTTATAAATTATTGAAAATATCGTCAATATGTCTTATAAAATATATATTTCGTTTTGATCGTGAAGTGTTTCCAGAGTTTCTGAAACTATGACCCGTCGGCTATTTGTTTGTACCACACATATTCCACTTTCATTTTATAATTTCTGTGCACACTCGATGCTTCATCAAGCGACCAGTACTGGAAAGGGGACTATGGAAATGTTTGTGGTATTATACAGCATTACTGTGAAGTACTGTAATGAACATGTCTCGAAGAACATTACTGGAAAGGGGCTCTGGAAATTTGTGAACAGAACTGTAATGTTCAGGAACTAGTGATCAGTACTGGGAGAGATGTTGTATTATGTGGCGAGCATCTCTTCAGTGTACATGACTGAGGAGGCCGTAAACAATGGCATGTGTGAACCAGTGAGGAAGACAGTAGACCTGTGTGAACCAGTGAGGGAGACAGTAGACCTGTGTGCACCAGTGAGGGAGACAGTAGACCTGTGTGAACCAGTGAGGGAGGTTAGTAGACCTGTGTGAACCAGTGAGGGAGGCAGTAGACCTGTGTGAACCAGTGAGGGAGGCAGTAGACCTGTGTGAACCAGTGAGGGAGGCAGTAGACCTGTGTGAACCAGTGAGGGAGGCAGTAGACCTGTGTGAACCAGTGAGGGAGGCAGTAGACCTGTGTGAACCAGTGAGGGAGGCAGTAGACCTGTGTGAACCAGTGAGGGAGACAGTAGACCTGTGTGAACCAGTGAGGGAGACAGTAGACCTGTGTGAACCAGTAAGGGAGACAGTAGACCTGTGTGAACCAGTGAGGGAGACGGAGGCGGGCAGCCGGTGTGTGTGTGTTGACTAGACATAAATCTTGAGGAGCCAGAGGGAGCCCTCCTCGCCGGCTGGTCCTCAGTTATTGATGACTGTCCCATCATGCCGCGCCGTGTGTACTGAATACTGACGATCATGTCAACAGATGGACACGTTCATGGCAAAATGTTTGTCATTTCTACTCACCCTGGAAACACGACTCAGCAGGCATATGAACATGAGTTCCATTAGTTGAAATTCTGGATTAGGATTTGATAGTTAACTCTCTGGAAGAACATAACATGTCGTAGGTTCTGAGAGCCATGTCTCTCACTGATTGGCACACGAAGAGGAAAATGACTTATTTTGGAGGGAAAATTATGTTAATACCATAAAGCATCTCACATCACTATCATAGTAGGCTGAGAAGTGTGTTCTGGCTACTAGGTACGACATATATATATATATATATATATATATATATATATATATATATATATATATATATATATATATATATATATATATATATATATATGTCGTACCTAATAGCCAGAACGCACTTCTCAGCCTACTATTCAAGGCCCGATTTGCCTAATAAGCCAAGTTTTCATGAATTAATGTTTTTTCCTCTACCTAACCTACCTAACCTAACCTAACCTAGCTTTTTTTGGCTACCTAACCTAACCTTACCTATAAATATAGGTTAGGTTAGGTTAGGTAGGGTTGGTTAGGTTCGTTCATATATCTACGTTAATTTTAACTCCAATAAAAAAAAATTGACCTCATACATAGAGAAAAGGGTTGCTTTATCATTTCATAAGAAAAAAATTATAGTAAATATATTAAATCAATAAAACTTGGCTTATTAGGCAAATCGAGCCTTGAATAGTAGGCTGAGAAGTGAGTTCTGGCTACTAGGTACGACATATATATATATATATATATATATATATATATATATATATATATATATATATATATATATATATATATATATATATATATATATATATATATATATACATATATACATATATATATATATATATATATATATATATATATATATGTCGTACCTAATAGCCAGAACGCAATTCTCAGCCTACTATTCAAGGCCCGATTTGCCTAATAAGCCAAGTTTTCATGAATTAATGTTTTTTCGTCTACCTAACCTACCTAACCTAACCTAACCTAGCTTTTTTGGCTACCTAACCTATCCTTACCTATAAATATAGGTTAGGTTAGGTTAGGTAGGGTTGGTTAGGTTCGGTCATATATCTACGTTAATTTTAACCCCAATAAAAAAAAATTGACCTCATACATAATGAAATGGGTAGCTTTATCATTTCATAAGAAAAAAATTAGAGAAAATATATTATTTCAGGAAAACTTGGCTTATTAGGCAAATCGGGCCTTGAATAGTAGGCTGAGAAGTGAGTTCTGGCTACTAGGTACGACATATATATATATATATATATATATATAATATATATAATATATGCACAACTTGCCTAAACACCGCAAGAGAGATTATACAACCTTAGAACACTTTACCACCAGGAGATTCGAACCCTAGCCAGCACAGAAGCCTTACAGCAACTGGCATAACTGGTAATCCTTTAACCCACTGCACCACAGCTCAGACCCCTAAAAGAGATGATAATTTCGGAGTATTTCACCTCCAAAGATCACCACCTCCCAAGGGCAACTAGAGCATAGTGAGGGGCTACTCACTTTCTTTCATCAAATTCCTGTTAATATGGGAGAACTCTGTGTCTATGCTTAATGCACAACTTGCCTAAACAACGCAAGAATCGGGTTTGAATCTCCTGGTGGGAAAGTGTTCTAAGGTTGTATAATCTCTCTTGCGGTGTTTAGGCAAGTTGTGCATTAAGCATAGACACAGAGTTCTCCCATATTAACAGGAATTAGATGAAAGAAAGTGAGTAGCCCCTCACTATGCTCTAGTTGCCCTTGGGAGGTGGTAATCTTCGGGGTGTTTAAATACCCCAAAATTATCATCTCTTTTATGGATCTGAGCATGGTGCAGTGGGTTAAAGGCGTACATGTTATGCCAGTTGCTGGAAGGCTTCTGTGCTGGCTAGGGTTCGAGTCTCCTGGTGGGAAAGTGTTCTAAAGTTATATATATATATATATATATATATATATATATATATATATATATATATATATATATATATATATATATATATATATATATATGTCTGAAAACTCACACCCCAGAAGTGACTCGAACCCATACTCCCAGGAGCAACGCAACTGGTAACTACGGGGCGCCTTAATCCGCTTGACCATCACGGCCGGACAAAAGCAAATGATAGCTGAAAATTAAGCGGATTAAGGCGCCCCGTAGTTACCAGTTGCGTTGCTCCTGGGAGTATGGGTTCGAGTCACTTCTGGGGTGTGAGTTTTCAGACGCATATAGTCCTGGGGACCATTCAGGCTTTTTTGCATTTGTGTTCCTCACGTGTGCCCCAAAGAATGAGGTGATTTGATAAAATGCTATGCCCAAGATTACCATCCGAGTTGCCGGCGGGGAATTGGTTCAAATAGCTTCGGCTATCACTTCCTTTTGTCCGGCCGTGATGGTCAAGCGGATTAAGGCGCCCCGTAGTTACCAGTTGCGTTGCTCCTGGGAGTATGGGTTCGAGTCACTTCTGGGGTGTGAGTTTTCAGACGCATATAGTCCTGGGGATCATTCAGGCTTTTTTGCATTTGTGTTCCTCACGTGTGCCCCAAAGAATGAGGTGATTTGATAAAATGCTATGCCCAAGATTACCATCCGAGTTGCCGGAGGGGAATTGGTTCAAATAGCTTCGGCTATCACTTCCTTTTGTCCGGCCGTGATGGTCAAGCGGATTAAGGCGCCCCGTAGTTACCAGTTGCGTTGCTCGTGGGAGTATGGGTTCGAGTCACTTCTGGGGTGTGAGTTTTCAGACGCATATAGTCCTGGGGACCATTCAGGCTTGTTCGCATTTGTGTTCCTCACGCGTGCCCCAAAGAATGAGGTGATTTGATAAAATGCTATGCCCAAGATTACCATCCGAGTTGCCGGCGGGGAAGTGGTTCAAATAGCTTCGGCTATCACTTCCTTTTGTCCGGCCGTGATGGTCAAGCGAATTAAGGCGCCCCGTAGTTACCAGTTGCATTGCTCCTGGGAGTATGGGTTCGAGTCACTTCTGGGGTGTGAGTTTTCAGACGCATATAGTCCTGGGGACCATTCAGGCTTTTTTGCATTTGTGTTCCTCACGTGTGCCCCAAAGAATGAGGTGATTTGATAAAATGCTATGCCCAAGATTACCATCCGAGTTGCCGGCGGGGAATTGGTTCAAATAGCTTCGGCTATCACTTCCTTTTGTCTGGCCGTGATGGTCAAGCGGATTAAGGCGCCCCGTAGTTACCAGTTGGGTTGCTCCTGGGAGTATGGGTTCGAGTCACTTCTGGGGTGTGAGTTTTCAGACGCATATAGTCCTGGGGATCATTCAGGCTTTTTTGCATTTGTGTTCCTCACGTGTGCCCCAAAGAATGAGGTGATTTGATAAAATGCTATGCCCAAGATTACCATCTGAGTTGCCGGCGGGGAATTGGTTCAAATAGCTTCGGCTATCACTTCCTTTTGTCCGGCCGTGATGGTCAAGCGGATTAAGGCGCCCCGTAGTTACCAGTTGCGTTGCTCCTGGGAGTATGGGTTCGAGTCACTTCTGGGGTGTGAGTTTTCAGACGCATATAGTCCTGGGGACCATTCAGGCTTGTTCGCATTTGTGTTCCTTACGCGTGCCCCAAAGAATGAGGTGATTTGATAAAATGCTATGCCCAAGATTACCATCCGAGTTGCCGGCGGGGAAGTGGTTCAAATAGCTTCGGCTATCACTTCCTTTTGTCCAGCCGTGATGGTCAAGCGAATTAAGGCGCCCCGTAGTTACCAGTTGCATTGCTCCTGGGAGTATGGGTTCGAGTCACTTCTGGGGTGTGAGTTTTCAGACGCATATAGTCCTGGGGACCATTCAGGCTTTTTTGCATTTGTGTTCCTCACGTGTGCCCCAAAGAATGAGGTGATTTGATAAAATGCTATGCCCAAGATTACCATCCGAGTTGCCGGCGGGGAATTGGTTCAAATAGCTTCGGCTATCACTTCCTTTTGTCCGGCCGTGATGGTCAAGCGGATTAAGGCGCCCCGTAGTTACCAGTTGCGTTGCTCCTGGGAGTATGGGTTCGAGTCACTTCTGGGGTGTGAGTTTTCAGACGCATATAGTCCTGGGGACCATTCAGGCTTGTTCGCATTTGTGTTCCTCACGTGTGCCCCAAAGAATGAGGTGATTTGATAAAATGCTATGCCCAAGATTACCATCCGAGTTGCCGGCGGGGAATTGGTTCAAATAGCTTCGGCTATCACTTCCTTTTGTCCGGCCGTGATGGTCAAGCGGATTAAGGCGCCCCGTAGTTACCAGTTGCGTTGCTCCTGGGAGTATGGGTTCGAGTCACTTCTTGGGTGTGAGTTTTCAGACGCATATAGTCCTGGGGACCATTCAGGCTTGTTCGCATATATATATATATATATATATATATATATATATATATATATATATATATATATATATATATATATATATATATATATATATATATATATATATATATATATATATATATATATACATATATATATATATATATATATATATATATATATATATATATATATATATATATATATATATATATATATATATATATATATATATATTGTTACGGTGCCCTCTCCTATTTCTTTCGTTGCCGGCTTAAAGAGTCATATCAGCTCTCCCTACTGATCCTCTGAGGTTCAGGGAGTCTAATGATGTATGTGGCGACCAGGCCGGCTGCCAGTTAAGGGAAAGAAGTTATATTATAAGTTGTAAATAAAGGAAAATTGGCGCCCTGTTATAAATGAAACAGTATCCCCTACGGCAGATGTGACCTTGTGGAAGGGACACTATGCCGATCGCGGATTGGCCGACGTAGGTCGCGGGCGACAAATCAGGGCCCGCCATGACGTCACCGAGTGCCCCGGGCGGCGCCAACGTCAGAGTTGTACTGACCGTGGAAGCGACAGGACGCGCCTCGGTCTGCTCTCAAGGATTGGAGGCTCTGCAAGCCTTGTTCAGTGGATTGAGCTGGCCTTCGT